AGAGTGACAGGTGCAGCCAGTTGAGCTCTAATCAGCTGCTGCTGGCTGCAGTGAAGACAAAACTAAACAACCGTGACATCGCCCTCTACCCGCATGCAAAGAAGACAAACCAAAACGCACATGTATAAATAAACACTACCTGAGCGGACAGAATAAATGAAACTTACAGAAAAGATGTATTGCAAACATTAAAGGGTGATCAGGGTGACAGAAAATATAATCTATGGGACGTGATTTGTGACAATATATGTTGTCTGCTATCCATTAGGTCCCCCTTGTTCCTAATCAGGGTTGAGGTGGGGGCTGCCTTTGGCACTTTCACTTTTGGAAGAATACTAGACAGCTTGGACAAGCCTCCAGTCCATCACAGGGACAAAGACAAAGAGAACACAACCGTTCACACTCCCAGACACCTAGAGTTCATTCATTCATTCAACCTTTATTTATACAGGTAAATCCCATTGAGCCTCGAGGACTCATTTACAAGAGAGACCTGATTTCAACAAAGAAAGATGACAACAATGGACAACAACGAAACAATAGACAGTTATAAAATGTCATACACATTTTTTTTTTTTTTTCAAATAGGATGGCTAAAAAAAATAAAATAAAAAAGAAAAGTAACATTAACAGTAACAAAACAGTAATTTAGAGTTGCACAGAAGAGGCCCAAAAGGGATTCAAACTGAGAACTTCAGTTCTAATCACTAATTATCAATAATAATTGATCGTATCTGCCATGGTAAATCATTATAGGTATACAGACCCTTTCCAAAAATTGGAATATCATGGAAAAGTTGTTTGACTTCTATAATTACATTCAAAGAGTTAATATTTAATAGATTCAGGGCCCACAATTTAAACAATTTCAAGTATTTATTTGTTTATTTTTACATAATTTGGGCTTCCAGCTCATGAAACCCACGAAAACAGGATTTAAACAAATTAGAATACTGTGGAGAAATCGGACCAAATGTTGCAGGACATGAATATTTTAAACTGAGTGTGACACTAATCATCTACTAAACTCAAAGCACATGCACAGGTTTCCCCAGGTGTCATTAAATTGATTCAGTTTGGTTCAATTGTCTCAGTTCGGTTCAATATGGGGAAGACTGCAGACATAACTGGCCAGAAGACCATCATTGATACCCTCCATTGGATGGGTAAGCCACAAAACTTCATAGCTAAGGAGGGTGGCTGTTCACAGTGTGCTGTGTCCAAGCATATCAATGGAAAGTCTAGTGGAAGGGCAAAATGTGGCAGGAGAAGATGCACCAGCAAAAGAGATGACCGTGGGCTTCAGTGGATTATCAAACAGAGAAGATCTAGAATCTGTCAGAGATCCAGAAAGAGTGGAATGAGGCGGGAGTCACAGCTTCAAAAACCACCACATTCAGACACATCCAGGAGATGGACTACAACGGTTGGGTTCCTCGGTCCTCTTTTCTGATGAAAGTAAAGTGTGTCTTTCATTCAGAAATCAAGGTCCATGGGTTTGGAGGAAGAAGGGTGGGGAACAGAGCCCATACTGCTTGAGGTCCAGTGTGAAATATCCACAGTCAGTCATGATTTGGGGTGCAATGTCCGGTGCAGGTGTTGGTAAACTCTGCTTTCTTAAATCCAAGGTCACAGCAACAGTCTACCAGAATGTTTTAGAGGACTTCATGATTCCTTCTGCTGAGGATATGTATGGAGATGCAGATTTCATCTTCCAACAGGACCTGGCTGCCAAAAGCACCAAAACCTGGTTTCATGTCCATGCCATCACAGTGTTTGACTGGTCAGCCAACTGGCCGGACCTAAACCCCATTGAGAATCTATGGGGTCTTCTCAAGAGGAACATGAGGGGCATCAGACCCAACAACAAAGAAGAGCATCAAACAGCAAGCATCAAGGAAATCTGGACTTCCATAACTCCCAGTCAATGCCACAGGCTGATCGTCTCAATGCCACGTCGCATCGAGGCAGAGATTAAGACAAAGAGATTCACAACCAAGTATTGAAGATTGACATATCATTTTGAAAGTACCATATTTTGATTGTTGTGATCCTAATTTATTAATTTTTTTTCTGCAAAAACTGAGTAGTAGTGTGGGCTGATGTCTTCACAGTATTCAAATTTTTTTAAATCCTGTTTTTGTGGGTTTCATGAGCTGGAAGCCCAAATTATGCAAAAATAAACAAATAAATACTTGAAATTGTTTAAATTGTGGGCCCTGAATCTATCATCTATTAAAGATTAACTTTTTGAATGGAATTATGGAAGTTAAACAACTTTTCCATGATATTCTACAAACCGGATTCCAAAAAAGTTGGGACACTAAACAAATTGTGAATAAAAACTGAATGCAATGATGTGGAGGTGCCAACATCTAATATTTTATTCAGAATAGAACACAAATCACAGATCAAAAGTTTAAACTGGGAGAATGTATCATTTTAAGGGAAAAATCTGTTGTTTCCAAATTTCATGGCGTCAACAAATCCCCAAAAAGTTGGGACAAGTCCATTTTTACCACTGTGTGGCATCTCCCCTTCTTCTTACAACACTCAACAGACGTCTGGGGACAGAGGAGACCAGTTTCTCCAGTTTAGAAATAGGAATGCTCTCCCATTCATGTCTAATACAGGCCTTTAACTGTTCAATCGTCTTGGGCCTTCTTTGTCGCACCTTCCTCTTTATGATGCGCCAAATGTTCTCTCTAGTGAAAGATCTGGACTGAAGGCTGGCCATTTCAGTACCCGGATCCTTCTCCTACGTAGCCATGATGTTGTGATTGCTGCAGAATGTGGTCTGGCATTATCGTGTTGAAAAATGCAGGGTCTTCCCTGAAAGAGATGACGTCTAGATGGGAGCATATGTTGTTCTAGAACCTGAACATAGTTCTCTGCATTAATGGTGCCTTTCCAGACATGCAAGCTTCCCATGCCACAAGCGCTCATGCAACCCCATACCATCAGTGATGCAGGCTTCTGAATGGAGCGTTGATAACAACTTGGGCTATCCTTGTCCTCTCTGGTCCGAATGACATGGCGTCCCAGTGTCCAATAAAGAACTTCAAATCGTGACTCATCTGACCACAGAATAGTCTTCCATTTTGCCACACTCCATTTTAAATGACCCCTGGCCCAGTGCAAACGTCTGAGCTTGTGGAGCTTGCTTAGAAATGGCTTCCTCTTTGCACTGTAGAGTTTCAGCTGGCAACGGCGGATGGCACGGTGGATTGTGTTCACTGACAATGCTTTCTGGAAGTATTCCTGAGCCCATTCTGTTATTTCCTTGACAGTGGCATTCCTGTTTGAGGTGCAGTGACGTTTAAGGGCCCGGAGATCACGAGCATCCAGTAGTTTTACGGCCTTGACCCTTACGCACAGCGATTGTTCCAGATTCTCTGAATCTTTTGATGATGTTATGCACGGTTGATGATGATAACTTAAAAGTCTTTGCTATTTTACGCTGGGTAACACCATTCTAGTATTGCTGCACTATCTTTCTGTGCAACAATGGTGGAATTGGTGATCCTCTTACCATCTTGGCTTCTGAGAGACACTGACACTCTGAGAAGCTCTTTTTATACCCAATCATGTTGTCAATTGACCTAATTAGTGTTAATTGGTCTTCCAGCTGTTCGTTATATGCTCAATTTCCTTTTTCCAGCCACTTATTGCTACTTGTCCCAACTTTTTGGGGATTTGTTGACACTGTGAAATTTTGAATCAACATATTTTTCCTTTAAAATGTTACATTTACTCAGATTAAACTTTTGATCTGTCATCTATGTTATATTACGAATAAAATATTGGCATTTGCCATCTCCACATCATTGCATTCAGTTTTTATTCACAATTTGTTTAGTGTCCCAACTTTTTTGGAATCCGGTTTGTAATTTTTTGGAAAGGGTCTGTACATATTGTGAGGAGTCATTAATATTCAGATATAATCAGGCAGTCATATATTCACATATATGTAAATTTATTATTATTAATACTGTAATTAAAGGTGAGTCGTGCAAACTTGTATTCGTATCAAACAAGTAGCCCTTCATGTCACTTTGTCCCACTGGAGTAACTCTCAGTCTCTAAGGGGTTGGTGGCCCCTGGTTTAGAGGTTAGCTTTAGCTTGGTTTATCCTGTTTTTTCATCATCCAGTTTCACTTCAATGCTTTTCGATTTCTCGGGTCTACATGGTCTCAGTGGTTTTCAATAAAACTTGAGTGCTGTCTCGATGTGGGTGGGATTCTCATTTTTTGGCTGCCTGAAACTTCTGCAATGTTTGTTTTTTTTAACTGAAACCGTGCCAGGTCGACATGAGCAGGGCCGAGTGGAGCTCATAGAAAAAGGCCAAATATTTACACCCCTTTCCCGTAACATTAACACACAACTCTGTGTTTGTGTGTGCGTGTGTGTGTGTCAGTCAAACTTGTTGCTGCAGTCGTCTGACTTTAAGAAACAAAAATGGCTGTAACTCATCCAGTTTTACAACAAGTTATATAATAGTAGGTGTGATAGTAGCTTAGAGTCATAAATAACTCATACTTGAGCTCTACACATTGTGTGTCTAAAACTTTAGTGTGTGTTTAGTGTTTGTAACAACATGTCTTTCTGTTAGCACATCTCACACTGTACAGATTTCATGAAACTCCCAGGAAGTAACTGTTGAATATGCCTCCTTTAGAGCTTAGGAGACAAACACGAGCTTCCAAATCATGAATCTTAAAAAACATCTTGAACTTGCGTACCCTCTACATCAATTTTTTTTTGAAGGACAAAGGCTATCTGCAAGCTTTTTGGGAGACTTTTTGATCCTGATGAAGTAAGTTTTGAATCTGTTTTACAAAAAGTTGCTGAGAGCTTAGGACCCTATGAAGGTCTTAAGATTACTCCTCATTGTGGTACAAGTCTGCAGTTCTTAAGGTGGAACCACAGACGCCTGTCAATCTCTGTTTCATTTAGTAGTATAAATAAATAATTGTTCTGTTTCTGTCTGTGATTTCCAGGCATTTTGTGAGAAGTGCTCAGTCTCCCCTGGTGTTTGTGGTGTCCGACTGTCCAAGTGGAGATGGCAGGTTACAGTCTCTGTTTCCTAGAGACATCCAGAAGGAGCTTGCTATCAGCTGCATCAGGTTTTGAACAGTTCTGTTTGTGACTAGGATGTGAGCACCATGTTTTACAGCTCAGTCCCAGCAGGGTTCTGTCAGATCCATACAGAACATGGACACCCAAATAAAGTACAGATGCAGATTTTGAGTTCAGCTCTATACTGTATGACCTAATTTACTCAAAAAGTAGCTGAACACACTATCAGCTCTTGGACTGATTCTAGTTCTGATCAACATCTACAGTACATATACTTCATATATACTCGGTATGTACTCCACTACTTTCCACATAGATTATTGGGTTACAAAAGTATTCATTCCTCTTGTTATTCTTTCTGTTTTGTCATCTTACATTCTGGAATTTAGTCAAACTTTTAATTTGCTTTTAAGTAATAATAATTCTACAAAAATAGTCCAGATTAATGAAGTTAAATAGGGTAAACATAAAACCTTACAATAAAAAAAATAGGACTGAAAAATCTCCTCCTTGAATCGCTACCTTATCGTGGTGGAGGAGTTTGTGTGCCTGAACGATCCTAGGAGCTATGCTTTCTGGGGCAATTGCCCCTATAGTTGCACTCGGGTCCAAATAATCTGAACTGACCTGGCCCCAGCCCGTAGCCATCATCTCCGAGCCCCACCCGATCGGACGAATTAACAGTAATTACAGGTCCAAACCTGGGAAAACCCCCCTACATTTTTAATTAAGCTTTGCCTGCTTATACCACCGACTATTATTAACGGTTGGCGGACGCGTGCGGCTGAGGGTGCAGAAGATCAGAGCTGAAGAGCCATCAAAGCGCATTAAAAGCTTCCCCTGCTTCTGCCTGCATTGGACCCTGCTCTGACATGTCGGATATTTTGTGATCTCACCTGTTTGGGTTGTCGGCCACGCGCGTCCACTGAGTGCAGTGACTGAATGAACATCCATTTGGGCTGATGGATCGCTGGCAGTAGTCCATCTGAAGCTTAACTTAACGTTTTACCTCTTTCAACTGGCTGGTCAGCACATGGTCAAATGGCCACGTGCGGCAGGTGCAGTAAGGCAAGCCATGTCATATTGGATTGTCGGCCGCACACGTTCCTGACGCAATAAAAAGCCCGACACCGACCCGGCCCACACATTAAGCACATTATTATGGCCCGGCCCAGTCTGAATCTGGGTCGGGTGGGGACAGGCTCCAGGTTAGAAATGACAGCTCTAATTGTCCCAGGTAGGTTCTCCCAAGGCAGATTGGTTCTAGGTGACAGGTCAGACAAAGAGCGATTCAGAAGACTTATATGGACAAGAAAAAAATAACGAGCTCAGTGTCCCTTGCCCAGATGTGGGTTACCAGGGCCCCACCCTGGAGCCAGGCCCGGGGGAGAGACTCGTCAGTGAGTGCCTGGTGACCGGGTCTCTATCCATGGGGCCCGGTCGGGCTCAGCCCAAAGGAGCAGCATGGGTTTGCCTTCCTGTGGGCTCACCAACTGCAGGAGGGGCCATATGAGACAGGTGCATGATGCCATGGGCAGTGGCCAAAGGCTGGGACCTGGGCACTCTGACCCTGACTTACCACAACTGGCTCTTGGGACATGGAATGTGACCTCTCTGGGGGGAAGGATCCTGAGCTTGTGCGTGAGGTTGAGAGGTACCTACTAGATATAGTTGGGCTCACCTTGATGCACAGCATGGGCTCTGGACTGATTCATTCATTCAACCTTTATTTATACAGGTTAATCCCTTTGAGCCTCGAGGACTCATTTACGAGAGACCTGATTTCAACAAAGAATGATGACAACAGTGGACAACAGTGACAACAATAGACAATCATAAAAGAGGCATACAGATTAGTTTTTAATTCAAATTAAAATAAGATGGCAAAAAAATATCAAAACAGCTAGATTATAAGGCTAATGTAGAAAACTAAAAACAGGAACATGTCTGCATTGGTCCTTGCCAGGAGTCCAACAGATTCTTAAAGCCACTTAGAGAGGTCAAGGTCAAGAGCTTCAGATCTTTTTGCAAGATATTCCAGGAAACAGGAGCGGAGTAGAAGAAAGCCCTTTTGTCTAGTTCAGTACTCACTGAGGGAACACTGCAGGTAATAATGGCCTGAGAGCGCACGTTGTAGCTGCACTCACGCAGAGACATGTAGGAGGAGATGTATGAAGGCAGCAGACCAGGAAGTGATTTAAAGATGAAAATGTACCAGTGGGAGAGTCTGCGTGAAGTTAATGATGTCCAGTTAACCAGTGAATACTGGGTACAGTGGTGGGTACGATAATCACAGCCAGTTATGAATCTTAGTGCACCATGATAGACAGCATCCAACATCTGCAGCATCCAACATCTGCAGGGTTCATGTAGGAGCGTTCATGTAAATAATGTCACCGTAATCAATGGAGGGAAGGACAGTCACAGATACAAGGTGTTTCCTAGCATTCAAAGTTAGACAGGATCTGTTTCTGAAAAAGAAACTCAGTTTAACTTTCAGTTTCTTTACTAGGTTTTCCACATGGAGCTTAAAAGAAATACCCAAATATTTATAGGAATCAACAAACTCAATCGGGACACCATTTGAGGAGAAAATCGGAGGAAGAACTGCTGGGAACGACTTCCTGTTTGAAAAAAGCATCCCTTTGGTTTTATTGGCATTTAAAACAAGTTTGAGGTGGAACAAATCTGTGTCTGGATGTAGTTAAATGCAGATTTCAAAAGCTGGAAAGCCTTATCAATTGTTTTAGCTTTGAAAATAAACCACTGTGTCATCGGCATAGAAATGTATGGATGCATCAGGGATGCTCTGACATACATTACCTATGTAGATTGTGAAGAGGGTGGGTCCTAAGACTGAACCTTGTGGTACACCATTGTTGACTGTTAAATAACTGGAGGAAGTACCATTATGTTGAACACATTGCCTCCGGTCTGAAAGATAGTTAGAGAACCAACCAATGGTGTGTTCTGAGAAACCAGTTTCTGAGAGTTTATGACACAAGATGTTATGATCCACAGAGTCAGAATCTTTAGACAGGTCTAAGAAAAGTGCAGCACAATAATCCTTAGCATCCAGTGCTTCAACAACATCATTAAGAACCTTCAGTGAAGCAGTGGTTGTGCTGTGTTGTTTCCTGAAACCAGATTGATGGAGAGGTAAGATGTTAAATGAGTCCAGGTAATTTTTGATTTGAGAGTTTATCAGTTTTTCTAGAACCTTGGCTAAAATGCAGAGTTTAAAGTTTGGCCGATAGTTGTTCAGTGAGGTGGGGTCACCTCCCTTCAGCAAAGGAAGAACAAAGGCTGTTTTCCAAGGGTCTGGATGAAGTTTTGTCTTATGGAGAGATTGAAGATGTGGGTCACAGGGACTGTGATGATATGAGCAGCCAGCCTTAAGAAATAAGGTGGAAGTTCATCTGGACCTGCAGATTTTTTAGGATCAAGATCTTTTAACAGTTTATTGACCTCACTGACTGAGAATGGAGAAAAAGAGAAGCTGTGATTAACTGAGGATTGACTTGTAGGAGGGATTTGATTTGTAGAAGTTTGGTTATTAAGTGAAATGGCTGATTTTCTGTTAGTAACTGTGTCAAATAAAGAACCAGAAGCAACAAAATGTTTGTTGAAACAGTTCAGGATCTCGTGCTTATTTGACACAGGAACAGAGTTAACGAGAAGTTGTGATGGGAGGTCAGATGATTGGAGGGTGCCTGAGAGAGATTTGATAGTTTTCCAGAATCTGTTAGGGTCATTTAGATTTTTGGAAGTCTGCGATAAGAAATAGTTGCGTTTTGCTGCTTTGATGGAAGTTGTGCATTTATTCCTCGTCGTCGAAAACTCAACCAGTGTCTGGGCCGCAGCGAGAAAATCTGACTCAAAGATGTTCTCTCCTGTGCAGGAGGTCAGCTAGCTCTGGAGTAAACCAGGAGCTGTCTCATCCCTTTATTCTGAACTGACGAAAAGGAGCATGTTTGTTCACAAAAAAATGAAACTATTATGAAAATAGTTCCAAGCGGAGTTCACGTCATCAGTTAACAGAATACGATGCCAGTCAAAGTGAGATAGATCCCAGAGCAATGACTGTTCACAAAAATGTTTCAGATCCCTTTTTTGAATTAATCTGGGCTTAGAAGGTGGAAGTTTAATATTTCTGAGAGCCGCTATTACACAATGATCACTCAAGATGTCAGCGAATACACCTGTACCAGGGAATTTGTGAGGCTATTTGTTAGAAACAGGTCTAAGATGAAGGATTTTTCAGGACATCTAAAAAAGTTAAATCTGGTCCTCTGGACATTAAAAAAAAAACAAACAAAGCAAATTAACAAAAAAAATGTAGAAACGTTTCGTCTTTCATACGAAAGACTTCCTCAGTCTGAGGAAGTCTTTTGGATGTTAGGCCTTCGAGCCCAGGCCTCCATTGCAAAAAAGATCTGTCATCTCAATGGGATTTGCCTGGTTAAATAAAGGTTAATAAATAAAATGGCTATGAATGAGCACAGCAGCATGAAACAAATCAGCAGTATGATTTGAGTGATTTTTTTCACAGTTCTTATCCTGGTTAGAGACTCATGAGTCTAACAGCCTCAGGGTAGAAGCTGTTCCTCAGCCTAGTGGTTTTACATGTAATGCTCTTGCGCTCAGCCGAGAAGGTGATCGGCTGCAGCCTTCCATCCCTCCACGACCTGTACGTCTCCAGGACTGTGAGGCGAGCAGGTTGGATCACAGCTGACCCTGCTCACCCTGCACACGGACTGTTTGAACCACTCCCATCAGGCAGGAGGCTTCGGTCCATTCGGACCAGAACCTCCCGCCATAAGAACAGTTTCTTCCCCTCTGCTGTTGGACTCCTGAACACTCATAATGCTACCTCATAATTTCTGCTTTGGTCACATTACATCTGTATTATAATTGAATACTCCATCTGTACTGTTCTCTAAGCTTTTTATTGTTTTCTATTGTATGGGTGTACACAGGTTTATGTTGTGTTTTTAATTTTACTTTATTTGTGGGTGTACACAGGTCTTATGTCTTATGTAATGTTCTCATTTTTACTTAATTTTTACTTTATTTTACTTTATTACTATTCGCATCTTATGTCGAAGCAAATTCCTAGTTTGTGAACCTCCTTCATTGACATGGCAATAATAAACTGATTCTGATTCTGATTCTTCAACCTTCTGCCTGAGGGGAGCGGGACAAAAAGTGTGTGTGCTGGGTGAGTGGGGTCCTTCATGATGCAGTTGGCCCTCTTCATATGCAGGTTAAGACAAGGTTAACAATATAATGAAATGTTCAGGATGAGAAGAACTGATTAGACTCGCTTAAACAAAAAAAACAAACAAACAAGAAATACTAAAGCATCCAACAAGGGTACAAAATAAAGTACCAAAAAGTGAAAAAGTAAGTACAATATTTTCAAGGTCCAAAAGAAAAAATAGTTAACAACAACATGGTAGAATATAACGGTGCTCGTAGGATGAATTTGTATGAATAAGTTGGCTATTTCAAGGTAGTAATACGAACTTAAATGCACATGATATAGGTACATAACTAACATACCATATACTACACTGATTTTGTGACAGGTTATAACACTGGTAGTGAGTTATATTGAGATTAATTATGATGGTAAGGTAGTGACATACATAGTACAGCCACATAAACATATTAGGTGACACAGATGTGGCTTAGTGCAATGTTATTGTCAGTTCAACAATTTTCAGTCAGGTCATCTGGACAGTTTCTTTTTTTTTTTCTGAAACATCTCGCCTTCCATCCAGAAGGCTTCATCAGTCAAGGAAACACACAACACAAAACTGATTCTTCCCCCAACAGCTTACTTCAAAGTGGAACAAACCAGTTACGTTGGTGCTAAGATGGTGTCTTTGGCATGCCCCCTCCTCTGAAGCCGGCCCTCTTCCTCGTCGACAGTCATGTCAAACTGGTTCTAAACCAATAACGTCCAGAGAATAACCAGTAACCCAGATAATAAACCATTGCAATAGTCCAGTCTAGATGTGACAAATGCATGAACCAGTTTTTCTGCATCATTTTTAGATCAGATGTTTCTAATTTTAGTGATATTACGCAGGTGGAAGAAGGAGGTTCTAGTAACATTTTTAATGTGGGGGATAAAAGACGTGTCCTGATCAAAAATAACACCAAGATTTTTAACATTAGAGCTGGAGGACAGATTAATGCATCTAAGGAGAGAGAAAGACTGAAACATTCATTTCTAAGGTGCTCAGGTCCAAAAACCAAAACCTCAGTCTTGTCTGTGTTCAACAGGAGAAAATTAAGGGTCATCCAGGTTTTTATGTCTTTAAGACATGCTTGTAACTTAACTGATTGGATTCACTGGGTTTCATGGACAAATATAACTGTGTATCATCAGCATAACAATGAAAATGTATCCCGTGCTATTAAAAAACTTTACCTAATGGAAGCATATCTAAAGTAAAAAGTATTCGTCCAAGCATTGAGCCCTGAGGAACGTATGCTTGAGTGTTTCCTTAACTGTTTTTTTTTAAGTTTTTTTTTTACACTTGTGTGTTCCAAATGTAAATAAAAAATAAATAAATACATATATTGTATTCTACAACAGTGATTACCCTTTCAGAGCACATGGTACTATAATAGTTGGTATTGGACTTTTAAGTTTGTAAAAATATTTTTAAAAGTAAATTTGCTTAATTAATTAATTGCTTTATTTATTATTTATTTATTTACCCTTCCTTCTTTCATACATCGTCTGACTACAAGATGTTGACCCTGGGTGCTGTTACCACCTGTTCCCACAGGTGGATATTATTTAAGGGTTCTTTTTTAATCAAACTTGAAATCCAGATCAATTCAAGGTTGTAAGATAACAAAATCGAAAGATTATCGGGGGATAAATATTTTGCAACTCACTGTATAATCCATGAATTCTCCACGCTGTAAGTAATTTTTTTTTTTTTTTTTATCACCATAGGATCAAACTATAATTAATTTAGCCTTATAAAAATTCCCCCCTGGGATTAATAAAGTATCTATCTTATCCATCCATCTAAATTTCATCTGTTTTCTGTAAAACCTTCATACCTAATTCTGACAGAACATCATGCCAGAGTCAGAACCTGATACTTTTTAAAAATAAAACTCATTCTTTTTATTATCTTTACAGAAGTAACAGCCAGTTAATTTGTTAACGTTTAGGTTGTTGTTTACCTGTTTCGTCATTTTAGTCTGGATTCTCAGTAACAGCTGTACATTTTCTCCTTCAGCTTTAATCCTGTTCCTCCAACAACAATGATGAAAGTTCTGAGCCGTATTTTATCCCTGGAGTCAGGAAAGGCAAGAGTAGCGCTCACACAATAAACATTCATTTGAATGCTGATAGTTTTCTGTCTTTAATCATTTTCATGATTTTATTAGAGCGCTGGAAGAATGTTTGTCCCAGACCGAGCGGAGCTGGAAGCACTGTGTTCAGGGAGTTCAGGGGATTTACGCAGTGCCATCAATAGTCTTCAGTTTCTTTGTCTCCCTGGTGAGAAATTTTCCACAATCCACTTTACACGGTTAAATATGTCTGTTTTGAAGAAACAAGTGAACTTCTGTCATGTTTGTAACTTTCAGACACATCTGTAGAGAGCAGGTTGTGTAGGATCAATCAAAGACCCATAATATCAAAGGACAGAGCTGTTTCTAGAGCAAACAAGAAAACAAAAAAGACTAAACGAATGAAGGAGCAAGAAGAGAACCTGGCTGTAGGAGGAAAAGATGCCTCTCTGTTCCTGTTTCGAGCACTGGGAAAAATCCTGCACTGTAAACGTGAGTCTTCCACACCTGGATGTTTCAAATACTTCAGATACTTAGGATATACCTGCAAAT